ATGCTATCAGATGGAATGAGTTAGGTCAATATAGGCCCACATGTTTGACGTCAATTCTGGGCAAAAAAAAAGAATGGAAAACTGATACTGGATTTGATTACATAAAATTTATAGTGTAGAAGCCTTGCTAGTTGGTCAAGGACCCAACATCATCACAAGAGGGAAGTGGAGACTGCCGGGTTGCAGGTCCTGAGTTACCAGGAGCACACAGTCGCATCTGCTGTAACAAAGGTTCCTTCCGCACAGATACTGCTGTGCCCTATCAGGTCCCTGCACAAAGCACTTTGCATCTGCAGCAAAGGTATGTAAACCCTCGTACTTATGTCATAGTTCGTATCAATGGAGGACTGAACTCTTGTTGCATTCTCTCTTGTGACTATAAACTGTTTTTGCCTGACCTGTCTCAGCAAAACAGACCACAAAAAGGTAGGAATGTAACTAATACTGGTCAGTTTGTGGAAGTCTCTTTACATTTGGTCAAATTCTTTCAGCTAGTTACAGGTTTGATTGACAAAGGTACTGCATAATTATGGTAGGCATATGGCTCCCTGTCTCAGGGCAAGCTGAGTATTACGTAAAAATTGGTAAGACAGGGTCAAGAATATGATAGTTCACAGATCTTGAAAAGTAATCAGAAGTGGGGAATGATGAATGGCATTGTTTCTACTGAAGACCTGAAGTATTTAGTAAGAGTCTTACTATACTTCTGAGTTTCCATTCACTTTCAAAACATTATTGAAAAAATCACTGATGAGCATATCAGTAACCGATAAATAACAGGAAAAGCACATTCAGACCCCACAGCCAAGGTTCTCAGTATACTGTGCCCATTCAAGCATGGGGGCTCAGCCAGTGGTTTGTATGTAGGCAGAAGAAATGCAAACTAAATCTGCTGAATGAGATTCACTAAAGGAGTGAGTTTAGAAAAGGTCTGTGCATTCTTAACAACTCAGTATAAATTTCTAGTAAGATGCTGTGATTAAAAGTGTAACGCAGTTCTTGTACGTATGTATATGAGTAAGTAGTCGTTAGGAGTCAGGAATTTTTTTTTTTCATGTGCATGGTATTAATAAGGTTGCATCTAATGTACGTTTTAAATTGTTTAAAATACCGGCAATGCAAAAATGTTCACTTAATGCAGTTTTACAAGTTGTTTTTTTTAAGACTGACAAAATCTTGCATTATTAGACTTACAAAAGGATATTTAATGTATCAAAATAAAAAAGACTGAAAAGTGACATTTACTAAATTCAAGTAAAGGAATCAATCCAGGTATTGAAAGAGCTCTGATTTAAAAGAAACAATTAGAAGATGAAGTGATGAAAATTCAAATTGAATTACAGGAAGGTAATTCAGCAGTCTGCTGAAATAAGTTAAAATAACCTTTGCATGTATTTTCTTCTCATATATTACAATTAAGACAGGTTTCCTGAAAGATAGGAATTGATCAGCCAGTAAAAACAGTTGCTTAATGTAATGGTATATAGGTTTATAGGTTTTGATCTACGTGTGAATAGGTCTGAGGAAATGCTGAAATGGGTGATTGTAACATTAACTGTCGTGGGGCGTGCACTGGTCCTATGAAGAATTTCTTGCTTTGATTCTGCCATTAGGCTGTTGATTTATCTTTTCTAATGCTCAGTTTCCCAATTAGAAAGAAGAGAAAAATGGTTTTTTTTTTTTTTTTTTCCCCCACACCTTAAGAACACTTTTTTCCCATAACTAAATTAACTTGAGATTTTTATTGTTTAGGATGTTCATGCAAACGCTTGTTAATGTAGCTTCATTTGGTAAAACTGGTTGCATACATACAAATAGAATTCAGAAATTTTAGGCTTCTAAACTGTTACTGGATGCCACATGGTCTGAGTGGAAGTCACCTGTGTACATCCTCTTGCTTCCTTTTATTTCTTGGTGGAAGTAACCAAGAACCTTGATGGAGATGCAAGTCCCCAAGTCTGTGCAGCTACCTGTTGATTTCTTTTAGCTGATAACTAACTAATAACTATTAAGAGGGGGACAGTTTGGACTTCTGGTCTGTGCATCATTCTCGTTACTTCTAAAAGGCTCATTAAACCATGCCATGTCTCTTCAGTGTTCGTTTCCTATTAAATTAGTTGGGAAAAGGGTCCTATACCACGTGTGCCATTTTGCTGAGTAGGAGTCCTCTCTTTAGACAGTTGATTGTAATTACTTTGTGACATAGTTTACCCATTGCACATAGGTGAGTAACTTAATACACAGAGGAAACGAAAAGATATCCTTGCTGGATGCTTAGTGATCCTTGAATAAGTGATTGTGATAAAAGTGGAAAATAACTATCAAATCAGTGCTCTTAGATGAGGTACTCTTACATATTTACGCATTTTATAAAAAATCTATGATGTATTAACTTATGGGTGCGTGGAGGTTTGGATTTTGGAACTTGATAACAAACAGTTCATTTGTGCTCAGTACATCAAAATTCTGTCCTTCTTGAAGATGTGTGAGAGGAATAATGCACTCATAAGGAAAATGACATTTGTCTTAAATTAAAGATTACCGATAAATGCATTGAAAAGAATTGAGAAGATCTTTAAAACTTTGTCTTTTAAGAAGTATTAGTTATATCTACTCTTCTAAAAATACAAGTTGTATCCAATCCTCCTTCCTAAAAATAAGCTTTCCACTTGTTCTTTGCCCTCACCTATTTTCAAATCAGAGAGCTTAAGAAGCCTTAGCTGCAACTCTTTTTAAAAGTTTCTGAAGCACTAGGTTTTGAATATGCTTTTTGAGAGCTTCATTGAACAATTACCTGATTTTTTTCTTAAATTGGCATGTTAGCTGTTGATAAACATGATAAACAATACCTTTTATAAAAAGAGGAGACTTAAGAAATAGATGCAATGTCCAACTTTTCCATTGTGAAAACAGTAACTGGAGAATCAAAACTTGAATTATAAATGATTGTTCTCTCTCATTTACTACCGACTCTGAACCAGGTTCAACAGACAGGTATTTGTTTTAAGTCAATTGACAAAAGCTGTACCTGCCGCTTGTTATAAGCATTACCTTGTTGTACTAGGTTTGTCAGTTCAAGTCATGGAAATCCTGACTTGTTGAAACTCAAATCCGGTATTACTTTATTATAAAGAACCTAGTACTTAGGTGATGCTTTTTTTCATTGTATGTTAGGCAAGAGACAAAATACCAGTGCATGTTGTATAGGAGCAGTGAGAAGGCAGGAAGAATTCTTACTGGATTGATGTAATACGTGAAGTGAGGCATAGCAAAAATAGATGAAGAGATGTTAGAGGTTTATTAGGCTGTTGTGAAAGGAGCAGTTGGAGGTACTTACAACAGAAAAGGACAGAAACTGGGGACACACAGAGTGCTGGAACCTGTCAGCAACAAAACGGCTGAGTGAAGGATAGGTGCACTAGCAAAAATGTCCATCAAGTTCTTGTCAAATTACACCAAAGGGGAACATGGAAAAGGGGTTCGAATAATGGAAACTTCTTTGCCTGTGTTAAGCAGAAGACTTGAATTTGAATGTTCAGAGGGTATGAAACTTTATTTTTTTTTCTCTTCCCTATCATGGCAGTCAGGAGTGGGATCTTGTAGGAGGAATTTGAGATACAAGTATTCTGTAGTAATATGCATGAGATGTCCCCTCTTTTGCAAAGGTTTCTTGCATATCTTTCCTGGTAGAAATATTAGGATTTTGGGAGTATGCTGTTGACTATTATATTGAGAAAAGGTTCTGCCAGAGTATCAACTCCTGGATTTCAGTCTCAAGGTACTCTATCAGTCTTGACAAGAATTCATAAACTCTCTGATGTGAAGGGTTCAAAAAAGGCGCCTGTGAATGTTGAGTTATTCTGTCTTCTAGCAAGCAACAGGCAAGATAGAGACTATTTTAATAAGCAGGAAAAAAGAAAAAACAAAGATTGATGGATACATTAAATAAAATGTGCTAAATAGAAAATAGGAAACTGATACAGAGAAAAGAAGAGGAAAGATATTTAAAACAACACTGGAAATAGAAACGTCACATCTTAGTAAATAGAAAAAATGGCACAAAACCAGTAAAAGACAGTATGATCGAAGATGGGTGTTTTCAAAGCTAATACATACAAAATTGACTAATATGATAAAAAAAAAAAAGTGGTGAATTAAATGGTACAAAGCTATCTATGCTTTTTCAGTTTCAGGGGCTGTTTTTCAAGTGTGTGAGCACAGATATCTTTCTCCATGACTAATAAGTGTAGTCTTTTGACTAAGAGATGCTGTTTTTTTTTTTTTTTTTTTAAATCCCGTTATATGTCAGAATCTCATTCTGAACTGTTTTGCAAGTTATTTCCATGTCAAATTAATGTCTCTGTGGATTACCTAGTGGATGCTCCAAATGAGTAAAATAACTGAGGTGATCTGAATCTCTCTTTTTATAGTTTTATTATGGCACTGATGTCCAATCTTCCCACTGAAACTATGTACACAGTACCTTGGAGTGATTAACATGGTGCTGTTCCCTTATTGTGCTGTTGTTTGCCTTTCATAAGTAACTAATCAACACTTTTAGCTTTATTTAATAAAGCCAAGGATTTATTATCCTATAATAAATTATATCCTTTTACATATTACTGCTATGGTGCAAAATGTTGTTTGCTTTGCCAAATTAAATAGATAATGAAGTACAGTTAATGCTTTTTGCTAATATTAGCAGAAGCATTGCTTTTTATTATTTTTTTTCTTAAACAGCCATATGTATTAAAATATTTTGGAGGATTTAAATCTTATGAAATATTTCATTCTAGTATGTCGGAAACAACCATAATAGCAAAAGAGAGCAGTTATTTGAGCAGTACAGAAAATCTAAGAGCATCAAATATTTGGCAAGAAACGATTTAAACTTCAGTATCAGTAGAAAGAAAATTAAATTAATTGACTTATTGTCCATACATTAAAGTATATACACGTGTAATCAACAATTAAAACAGCATGTGAAATAAAAAACTTACCTAGGAGATAGTTGACTGAAGCTTTATCTGTGCTCTGTCAGAATATACTGAGACTCATTCAGCAGATAGGAGGCTTTTTTCAATTTGAAATGCATTGTGCACTCTCGTCTTGTGATTTCTTTTTTCACAGCATCTTGTTCACTGCTGCTTCGTCTTGTGGTATTGGTTGTTTCCAGTTTATTTCCAGGTATCTCCAATATTTGATATCTTTCATATTCAGCATTTTTGTTTATTCTGCCTTAATCAGGTAACAGAAAAGAACCTGTGAACTTTGCATCTTCCCACCCACTTTCACTCCCCCTCTCCCCCCCCCCAAAAAAAAAAAAAGGAAAAGCAAAAAAAAAAAGAGGCAAAATGCACTGACTCCAGTTAACTCAAGTATTCAGCATCCATTAAAAATTCATTTAAAGATTTAGCATCAAGTAAATTCCATCTGTTTTCTGTAGGTGATTCCAATGCTGGAAAGTTATTTCTCTGTGTTTCCGTAGCCTCCACTTTTTATATTTTTGTAGGCAAAGCGCAGGATCAGTAGACTTTAGGTCTTAACTTTTAACCCCTGCAACGTTATTCTGTGAAGGATGATGAAGGTCTGCCTCTCTCAGCTCCTTATGCTTCTGTCAGACACAGATGTGAAATGCCGCTTTAGAACAGAGGGAAAAAATCCCAAAGGGTGTAGTGTTTTGTCATCTCTCAGGACAGTGAGCACGCATGGCATCAATGAGTAGCAGATATGAGCTATTCAAACCAGTCGCAGAACTGACAGGATGACGCTTTCATACATAATAGACCCATTAATTATTTCTTCTGATGGACAGCAGTGTCTACAAGAAGAAAAAAGCTGCAGATGATAATACTAGGTTTGATAGGTGCTCTATGTTTGAACAGCCTGTCATCAAAAATGAATCCAGGGGAAAAAAAAGCTTTTTTGGGGTATGATTAGGTGAAACGGACCAGAGTTGTTTTGATATAGTAGATGTTGTGTATGGGGTAAAAACTGCATTCAGGTTAAGGTCAATTTATAGCTAGGTTTTATCAATAAGGTGTTTCAAAAAGATTTGTTTAAAAAAAAAAAAAAAAGAAAAAAGTGCTTTGCTTCATGTAGCTAGGGAACCTGGTTATAGTCTTGTGATTTTTTTCATTTATAATTTAGTGTATGGATTAAACCTACACATTCATGGGAGTTTTGTTTTCCCTCTTACCCGCCCTCCCACCCCCCCCTTCCCAAACCTTACTGTTTTGAAAGATGTTTTTCAAAGGGCTGTGTTTATAAAAAAAAAAAAAAAAAAAAAAAGATGCTCAAACTCATTACACATTTTGTATCAAACAAAGGCTTTCTGACTTTGAAAACAATTCCAATTGAGAAATGTAAATTGTCTGATTTAATGTTAATTAACCACTTTCTTGATGCTAATATGTAGGAAATAATGTATAATAAAAAACTCACTTTATTGTAATATAAGCTCTTTGCAAATCTCCTAAAAGAATACAGGTAAAACCTTTATTCACCGTACTGATGTTGTTAGGGGCAACATATGCAGAGTGTGGGAGAATGGTGCAACATTTGGAACTTCTCCTTAGAGTACAGTTTTATTTTCTCCCCTTGCAACTTTATTTAGTTTAACTTTTAAGTTTCTTGGTAAAAATGTGTTTAAAATTTTCATTTGTTTCCTCCCTCCCCCCCAACTTTTATAAAGAAATTATGAATTTCTTTCATAATTTGACCTACTCTTGTTTCATTGTAACAGCAAAGTTATTTTCATCTTTCTTGTTGTGAAACAATGGAAATGAGTAGAACTGTGCCCTAATATTGCAACAAATGACTCTTGAAATGCCTTTATCCTCTAGCTTGCACCCTCTCTAGCTCCTGACCAAGTCCAAGCCTACTAACATATGGTGACTGTAACTTTAAATCTAAGTTGTCAATCTTGTCCTTTTAGATAAGGAGATGAGTTGCCAAGGATACAATGGGTACATGATGTAAAGTCCATGCTGAAAGTGCTGGAATGAGGCATACTTTCTGAAATAATATTAACACTTTCTGTCTCATGAGTAAGAAGAATACAATGGATGTCTGGAGTTGATAGCATAACCTGAACTGAATGTGTCCTTAATTTATTAGGATATTTAGTGAAGGTACTGATTTTTACAAAATCCTTCCAAATACTTGGAATCTGACAAGGCTCAATCTGTGCATGTGTAGCAATAAATAACTTCATACAGTTTGAATTCTCAGTCTTTCAGGAGACCAAGGGCAATCATTACCCCTTGTAGTACACGGTACTCAGGTATCTACTCTGTAGTTATCCCTTAAAGAAGTCCTGAAGTGCAAAATAATTGAGCTTTTTTAAACACGTGTGCATACATATATATGTATAACATCCACATTTCCCCCCCCTTAAGAACAAGATCAGCATATATAAGCATATTTGTATGTTATCATCAAAAGAGTTCTGCTATGTCAAACCTGGAGATGAGGGTAAACTTGGATGAAGCAGCATGTTCAGGGGATGGCAGTGGTCCTGTTATCTGGGTGTGCAACCTGAGTCTTAAGATATGGAGATGTTTGGTGTTAAGAATTCAAACCCCTAGGTGAAAATTTTCAACCTTGAATGTAGCACAAAAAAAGAGGAATTGTATTTTTAGCGTGGTATTCTGAGTGTCTTTTCTGTTTGGTCAAGCTATAACAGCAATAGGCTATATCTAAGATACCTATCTGAAGGGGATAAGTCACATCTCCAGTGGAGAGTGCTGCAGCTATGTCTGAAGTGGCAAAAGTTTCAAGCACGCTCCACTCTGAAGTCCTTAGTGCCTTTATTTTTTCTCATGGCTGGATGTCTGATGGCTGTCACTCAGCACTGCTGAAATTCTTGCAGAATTTGGTTATCTTGCACTCACAAAATGGTGTGGTGAGGGAAACCAAATAGGTCAACAGCATCAGTTGGCATGTCAGGTGTCATTCCTTCAGGGTAGGACTGGGTGCATCCCTTTGCTTCACTTCATTTGGTTTGTGGCCATGCTATTTTCTGCATTACTTCTGATTACAGAAAAGTAAGTGATAGTATGTAGTGAGGAAGAAGTCCTGTCCTTGGCAAACATCTCTTTCAGTTCCCTTTGTTTTTTCAGCGCTTTTAAACTGGAACATTTATGCATGTACCCATTATAGCTAGAAGCCTCAAAATAACTACTAGGTAACTGTGAGTAGCAGTGTATTGAAACTATTCGATCTCAGGGAGACTCGATATTTTATAACATCAAAGATGATAGCTTTTAAATAATATTAACCCATACAATACTATCTGTGCTAGTCTGTTTATGTTTAATAATGATGGATTCCTGAATTCTAGAAGTCCATGTGTTACTCCTACTGTAAGGAAGTAATTTGTCAAATATATCAGGAAAAATATTTTTCTAATTAAAACCGAATAATCAGTAAAGGCATAACTCAGTGAAATGGTTATAAAAATTATAGTGTATGGTAACCATTAATGTTAATACCGCTAATAAATTTGGAAAAAAAATTGAGAATACATACTTTTGAAGAATACGTCTAAATATTTTCCTTTCTATATCAAGTATGTATCACTCATCTAACAAAAAGCTATGCAAATGGAAGTCCCATTCTTACCTTTTTTTTTTTTTTTTTTTTTTTTTTTTTTTTTTTTTTTTAATCCTGAGTGTTATCATTCAGCGTTTTTCCAGGTCTGTATGATTACCTGTTACAAGCTAGTTGATAACTGTAGTGGTTGCTTTTCAGAGAAAAGCGGTGTATATACCGGAATTTTAAAATTGCTGAAGGGCTTATGTTCTGAAGAAAATTTCCTGATCGTTGCCACTTTTGTTGCCTGCAAGTAGTTGTTGCCTTTGTGAACAAAATTATTTTCCTACTTCCTCTTCAACCCCTTTGTGTGTGTGTGTGGTCATGGTGGTGGTGGGGTAAAGTGGGTAGGGTTTTGCTTCCTAGTGACCTCATATCAATAATTATTTATTATGGCAGATTAAATTGGAATATGTGTTAATTTTCCAGCTAAATTAAATTCATCTGCAAAACTGCAAAACATTTTAATGTCAGTATAGAATGCACTGTTCATTTCTAAAAATAAAATAAAATAAAAAATCAAATGTATGTGTAGTGAATTTTTTTAAATTATTTTTATTTTTCCTATAATCAGCTAGATAATTGACACTAAGCAATATTTGAGTGGAATTTAAAAACATGACAACCTGAACTTTAAAATTGCTTTGAATTTAACAGGAGTATCTGCTTGTTCTCAATGAACATAGGAACTTGTGCTTTCTTAAAATGAGGATATTCCTCATAAAATGGGTCTTCCCTGTAGGCTGAAAACTGGTGTAGAACAGCAAACTTAACACAGAAATGTACTGAGATAGCTTTGAAGGAACAGAGTTATTGTTACCTAGGAAATGAGTAAGTATAAGTGCTTAGCAGAGCTCTTACCATGTCAGACATCTGAGGGCTTTGCTTCCTGGAGTTAAGTTACAGCAGTCAAGGTTAGACTTGCCTCAAGATGACTTTAAGAGGAAATTCTTTGAGAGGAGAGAGAAATACTTTGCTTTTCCACTTCCGTAGTGCAAGTATTGCAAAATGTACTTGAACAGAAATGTATAGTAATGGTGATTTAATATTATTTCCAGGACTTGATTTTATTGCTACTAACATTTTGTTGGAAATTTCACTCAGTGATGCTTCAGTAGGATAATACTTGGAATTTAAATATAAAATGTTTTTTGAGATAGGTAATTAGCATGCAGGTTTCAGATAATATGTTCTATAAATTATATTTCATGCATTTTTAAATAAAATGTGAGTGCCTCTTATGCTTTTTTATTTTTTCATTATTTGAATATTGAAATCTCCTTAAGATTTCTGCTGTTGTCTAATACAGTATTAGGAAGAATAAGTAATGGCTGTTTCACAAATACTTTTTTTGTAAATAAATAGTATTTGTGAACATGTTTGTGTGATTTAGTCCCATTGCAGCAGGACACTGTTTTGGTAACAAATCCCGAAACTGTATCAAAGAGTGAACGTTTCTGCATGATTGTGGTTTTGTTAACTTGACTGGGGTATGTGTGCTCAGCAGAGGCTGGCCCAGTATCTTATAATTAAGTCTGGCATTTCTTAGACTACTGATATATGTTTGTGCTGGATGGAATATGACCTTGGTTTTCATTTGTCTTGGAGCTTTTACTGATGTGGCACTTCCACACATACACACAAGCCAAACCTGTATTAAGGAAAGTTTTACAGTTGAGTGGTTGCTTGTGAAGGTTGCAGTTGGTAACGTTGTGACCACAGATTTTGGAAGAGTTTTGTGGCGTTTGGTGTCGAAGACTTTGAAGTTTTGCTTATGCGCACTCTCAGTTTTTCCCAACTTGATCATTCTAGTTGCCATAACAACTTCATAATAGTGGAGCATTTGCTGCTGTAGTTAAGGTTGTGTCA